TCGCTCACAATTGAACAATGTGCGGCTCAAGTGGGCTTATTTTATTTAGCGGGATTCGATACCACCGCTTCAGCTGTAGCTTATACGCTGTTTGAGTTGTCACGAAAGCCAGAGCTTCAAAAGAGACTGCAAGATGAAATCGATAGCGTGTTGGCCAAACACGACAACGCCATCACGTATGAAAGCATCAACGATATGCCACTTTTGGAGATGTGTGTTAAAGGTAAATTGAAAATCGTTACATGAAATTGAAAAAAAGCTGAGAAAATTCCTGGTAGATTGAAAAAAAAGGTTTTTCATTCCAGAATCCGTTCGAAAGTATCCGACGCTGCCATTCTTGAACCGAATCTGTACCAAGGAGTATCGAATTGATAACTTGGGCCTAACAGTACCCGAAGGAACACCAATCGCCATTTCGTTGCTTGGTCTGATGAGAGATCCCGAATACTTCCCCGATCCGGAGAACTATTGGCCCGATCGTTTTTCAACAGAGAACCCCTCGTACAATCCAGATGCATTCATTCCATTTGGCGAAGGCCCTCGAGCTTGTATTGGTACGTAATTTGATACATGATTCCGAGATTGCATTCAAAATTATAATTAATCAACGTTTTCTTTTTAATTGACCTATTTCTGTTGATTGTACAGGTTTACGTATGGGAAAAATTACGACCAAAACAGCGATTGTTTCAATATTGAGAAGCTACAATTTTGAATGTGAAAATGATCGTGAACTTGTCGTGGCCAATCATGCACTCACACTGGACATTGAAGGTGGAATCAATGTGAAGATAACAAATCGACGAAAATAATGGAGCAAAAAAACAAAAACCCAAATCAAATAAAAACAGTTCTTTTCAGTCAAAACAAAAATGTCTACAGTCGCAAAAAGAATATCAACAGAATACGGAATTCAAAAACCGTGACCGGCATAAAGAGGAAGGAAGAAAATAGGAAACAAATAAATGCGATCGAATTGCAACAATTCCTCATTGAAACAGTGACGTTCGAAGAATTTCTTTAAAAGAAATTATGTCTACTGTTGAATTAATTAAGTTAAGCATGAAAATTGTTGTTTGAATAGACATTTCAATATTTTGTTGTTATTTCATTAAATCAGACAGGCCGCGCTAGCGTCCTATCTAAATACATTATAATGAATAAGTACAAACTAATACATATGCATTTCGCTATGAATGCGTTTCATGTTATGTGTTTTGATTTCATTTAATTTTGGAAATTGAAAAAAAAAATATTTCTCGACAAAATATATTTTAAAACATCATTGCAATAAAAAAAAACTTCCAGAGTAAGAATGAATATATTGATATTGAGTAAGAAAATTCGGTGAAATCGGTGAAATACTTGAATCAAACATAAACGTTTGAAAAACGTAAGACGCGCGCCAAAGCATAAGTGATGTCAAAGTGTATACAAAGAGTGAAGCAATAGTGCGTTTAATGCTATATGCTATAGTGTCTCTGTTGATGTTGATCGCTGACGTTTATAGTGGTAGAAATCAGAGATAATAAAAGTAAAAAGTTGAAAAAAACAAAGTCATTCTCAATTTTTCAATTTTCTTATTTTATTCTCCTTCAATTTGTTCGACGTTCACATGATGCTTCATTTGTAGTTTGGTGAACAAAGTGCAATAAAAAATTGACGATTTTGGTTTACTGGTCCGTATTCACCAGATGTAGGCATGTTTGTTAATTCAACAATTAATATTCTCTCGGTCAAGGTCGAAAATACCGTTATGCCGTCTGAACGAACAAAGACGCGCGCACAGTCGGTAGCCACGTAGATATGTTACAGATTAGCTTAATTTCAAGTCATCAATGTTCACATCGGCAGTGGTGAATACAACATTAGTATCAATGTATTTCCCGATCCTGAATCAAATGGAAAATTAATTTAAAAAAAATATATAAAAAGTTGCAAATAACTTGAACAATAAAAAACATTGATTAATTGAGTCCTCATGCGATACCAATTTTTACTATTGCCACTGTCCTCTCGCATTGGATCAATGGCATATCTCAAATCAATTTTTCGAGTCGGCGGTTTTGATTACAACAACAACAGGCAATTTTTCACGAACCAAGGCCAATCGCAATTCTAAAAACACAGTTTCGTTTCTTACATCTTGAAGATTGAATTTTCGGTTTTTTATGACGATTTTCGTTCATTCCTTGAAGATTATGTCCCCTGAATAATTTCAAAATCGAAGAGATAAAAAAAATATTGAGCGTTATCGACTTAATTTGTTTTTATTATAACAACCCCCCGTCCTACTAGATATGTGAGACGTAGCCAACCTATGTCTGATCAAAACACTGATTTATAAAAGGAAAACTGAACTTTGAGTTTATCTCTAAAGTGTGAAAATAGCACACAATATATTTAGAAAAAGCGAAATAAATCACAGACACTGTCAGACTTCAATCAATTTATGATCCACGAGCCATCATGTGTTGATAAGAAAATTTAAAGAATCCCTTTACAGGTGATGATGCAAGTAATTCTACTTTATCGAGAGAACATTTCAACCATAAACACAATTCGAACAGAGAGATTTCATGAATATGTTATGTGTTGTCTACTTCGTGCTATCAGTTTGCTTGTGTCAAATGAAATTTATCACATCGTTAAATTATTACATAGTTGACGTTATAAGTGGCGATAAGGATTCAATTCAAAACCATAGATTAGACATTTCGTCACGATGACTTGACGGAATTCAATTTTTATTTATTTGATTACAACGCAATTTTTCGATTCATTCAGTTGTAGTAGTAGTGGTGTTTGTTTGAATGGTTTTTATCATTTTAGCGTGTAAAATATAAACATTGATAAGGGGGCAATGGAAAGGTTTGTTGGCTTAAAAAATGGCTTTTTTAACATCTCCTTTTGATTAATTATTTATCTGCTTTTAATAATTTTATTTAATGCTCAAAGCCAATGTATTAATGACAAGCACTGAGAAGAAAAAGAAAAAGAATAAGAAGAAAAAGAGGGCTGAACAGGTTTCGGTGCATGTAGCAGCCCTCTATCTTGAGTTGATCAATCGTATCCTCTGTACTCAAGCAAATCAGTCCATATTTGGAATTCAAGGACCGAGTAACTCTACTTCAGAACCCATTAAAACTAGCGTTTCATTTTAGTTCCTGTGAATGATGGCACTTTTTTCGCTAGCTAAAAATTACATTCCTAGCGTTCGAAAAAGAATTGATCGAGCGAAATTAGCCGTTTAATATGTTTTTGGATCACATTTCGATCAAAGGGATGGGGTGATGAATGAATATGACTTTTTCAAATGGTAAAACATAGTCTATATTGTTGTGTAATTTGTATGATGTATAATGGAATAACTGTTTGGAATGATAATTGAGTGAATGAGACAATGTGAATGTGTACGAATGTGTGAGTGAATGTGCCCTTCCGGCATTTTGCTCCGCCATGACAGCATTTTGGTTCACCATTAGATAGTTAGTTCCGGCATTTTGGTCGGCCATCATAGAGCCTTTGTATTGAGTAGCTCTTTGACGTTGATTCATTCTTTGGGAAACCATAGACGTGAGAACATTGTTTCAATAAAAGAAAATTATTTTCGTAAAATACCGGCGTCTTTAATTATTTAATTCATATATAAAAATATATTGAATATCCGATTATTAATTCGAATCATAAAAAAACTTATTTGTTGCCCACTCCCATTATTTGACAATATTTCCAGTGCACTGTAATCATTACTCAGTAAATATCAAAGTTTGTGCTGAATCATATTAGACGTTTTCATCACCCTATCGAATCAACCGTGTTATCACTTCAACGCGTCGCTGAGATTACACAAACTCATGTTCAAGTTTCCCTAAGCCCAGTATAAATACTCGTGTTAAACAAAGCACAAAGTAGTCAGTTACTATTTCATTTTGCACTAATTGTGTTTTGAAAAAAAAAACGATTGAATTTTATTTCAAAAAATGATTGCGTTTTACTTGTTTATTGTTGTGTTGAGTGTTTTATACTTGTGGGTGAAGCGTGTGTACAGTTACTGGGAACGAAAGAATTTCCCAAACATAAAACCGTCGATTCCGTTTGGGAATCTGTCGGGTTCATGGCATGGGCGAAAATCACTTGGCAAGGAGCTATACGATCTGCATCGTAGCTCAAAGAAGCCCATTGAAGGTGTTTACTTTCTATTTCGACCCGCTTTAATCGTACGCGATGCAAGTCTTGTCCAGAATATTTTAAAGACAGATTTTACAAGCTTTTATGATCGCGGATTCTATCATAATCCAAATGATCAAGTTGCCGACAATTTGTTCGTGAAAGAAGGACAAGATTGGAAATCATTGCGAGCTAAGCTGACACCAACTTTTACGTAAATACGACATGGTTATAGCATTTCTCGGCAAATTTTGCAATGATTTGTTTGTTTTTACTCTAGATCTGGTAAACTCAAGGCCATGATACCAACAATCATTCAAATCGCCGACAATCTTCGACGAAAACTAGCCCCATTGGCCGATAACAATGACATTATCGATATCAAGGATTTTACAGTTAGGTAAGATTGTTTTCAGGCAAATATCAAACGAATATAAAAGATGATTGTTAAATTTTCTTTGCTTGGTTGTGTCGTGACAGATGAACTGTCAAAATCATTACATTTCGACAGTACTGAACGTTTGAAACGTTCAAAACGTTCAAATCGCTTATTGTTATCTATAAATATATATGATGGATGAATTTGAATTACTCAATTTTAAAATGATTTTAAAAAAGGAGCAAAATTATGAGGATAAGTTGCAAACATTATCTGACACACTCTATATATAAATGCTGGATTTTACATCCATTTTGGCCAATAATCGATTTGTTTTCATATTAAGTAAATACCAATTTTCCTTAAAAAGAAATGAAAAGCCTATCTGAAATCAAAGCTAGCTCCAAAACAAAGCAATTCAGTGACTTTTTTATAACAATATCGGCCACAAGTAGGGTTTAAAAACGCGTTATTTTTTTGTGTTTCCTAAAAACGTTATTTTAAGCGTTAAAAAACACTACAGGAAAATAACGTTTTTATAACATCGCTTGCGGTATTTGTCGAAACGTTTGTAAACCCTAGCCACAACTGAATCATTGTTGACAAATAAACGACTCAATCGCTTTGTTTTGAGGCTAGCTTCGATTTAATATAGGCACTCTGTGTGATTTCAAGAGAGAACCGGCCCAAAATATTCGAAATCTTGGCCCTTTTTTGATCGGTTCTGACGATTCAGGTTCACAAAAGTTTTTACAAATTTTTGCAGCATATAGGGAATTGTCCGTTTGAAAAAACAGTTTTTCATAATAGCTGAGTTCAGTTTAGATCAGTTCAGTTCAGTTCAGTTTAATATAAAAAAGAATATAATTGTTTCAAATGTTTCAAAAATGTTATCGAGATTTAGTTCAGCTCGCCTCTCGTCATACGGTGGTCATATGGTTATCTCCGCTAATTCAATTACAATAGATCTCAAGTTGAATTCAACCCTCAACTGCATGAATTTTTCCCAGGACTGGAAGTACTGATTTTTGGCCTTAGATAACGAAAAAAATATTCATAATCCTAGATTTCTCATGGTTTAGTCAGGAAATGCGATAGACATAAACCAGAGAACAATGAAATCCATTGTTTAAAAGTGTCAAAAATTTGTCTAATTTGGAAACCAAATAATTTATTTTGTCAAATTTTCGTTTCCGTGCATATTTTTGTTTTTAACTCACCAATCGTACTACATAGACAAATGGCGCCAGAGACAAAAATAAAGAAAAAACATTGCCAATGAAAAATGTTCCTTGAAGCAATGTGATCCGACGTACGGACAAAAGGATCATTGATCAATCTTCAATTGAACAAACAAATTCCTTTCAATTTTGTCACATTTATTTCTAGTTTAACATTTTTTTCATATCCAATAGATATGGGATGGATGTGATTGGAACGGTGGGCTTTGGCTTAGATGTGAATTCGATCGATGATCCAAATCATTCGTTCCGTGAAATTGAAAATCAAGTGAGCAATGGGTATTTCTCCAATCGCGTACGGCTGATTGGAGCTTTCTTCTGTCCAAAGTAAGCTATGTTTCATTTATTTTACTATTATTTCATCTTATGCACATCGTCATCAATTTAGTTTTATACTTGTTACGGTTTACAGTCACAAGATACATCCTTTATGTAATGCGATCGATGGATTGAGTTTAATCTCTCCCATTTCTACATTTCACTGTACAGTTGACTGTGTTTAATGTTAACCCGTCAGGTTCAAATGAACGACTTTGATTGATAACAAATTTATTTATAATATCAACCTGATTGACACTAATCTTCAATTCAAATGTAATCTTTAGACTTCTCGAAATCCTTCGAATGTCGTCGATGTCGCAGAAATTCCAGGACTACATGGTTGGAATTGTGAAAGATACAATGGAATAT